TATTCCATTGTGTGAATGTACCAAAGTTTGGTTATCCATTCCTCAGTTGTTGGACATCTAGGTTGTTTCCAAGTTTTGGCTATTGTAAATAGTTAGCAAAATTTCTTAAGTTGACAACATGAGAGCAGAAAACAGAAAAAGAGACACAGACAAAAGGTTTATCTCATTTTAAACTCAATAAATAAGATGACATGAAATAATTTCTATTATTGATATTTAAGAATTGTTGTTGTTGTCAGGTGCTGTCAAGTTGGTTCCGAGTCATAATGACCATATGCACAAAAGAACAAAACACTGCCCAGTCTTGTGCCTTCCTCACAATCAGCTTTATTTGAGCCCACTGTTTTAGCCACTGTGTCAATCCATCTCATTTAGGGTCCTCCTTATTTATGCTGTCTAGCAAGTATGACAAGTATGATGTCCTTCTGCAGGGACTGGTATCTACAAAACATCTGAGACAAAGTCTTGCCATTCTCCCTTCTAAGGAGAATTCTGGTTGTACTTCTTCCATGACAGATCTGTTCGTTCTTCTGGCAGTCCATGATATATTCAATATTTGCTGTCAATATTATAATTCAAAGGCATCAATTCTTCTTCAGTCTTTCTTATCCATTGTCCAGTTTTCACATGCACATGAGGTGATTGAAAATCCCATGGCTTGGGTCAGGCACACCTTAGTCCTCAAAGTAACATCTTTGCTTTTTAACACTTTAAAGAGCTCTTTTGAAGCAGAATTCCCCAAATGCAAAATGTCTGATTTCCTTATTACTTCTTCCATGGAGGTCGATTGTGGATCCAAGTAAAATGAAATCCTTGACAACTTCCATCTTTTCTCTATTTATCATGATTTTGCCTATTGGTTCAATTGTAAGAATTTTTACTTTCTTTATATAGAAGTGTAATCCATACTGAAGGCTTTGATCTTCAGCAGTAAGGGCTTCAAGTCATCTTCATTTTCAGCAAAGTTGTTTCATCTTCATCTACCTCCAATGCTAAGGCTGTGTTCCTCTTCATATAAATCCAACCTCTCAGACTATTTGTTCAGCATAAAGATTGAATAAGTATGGTGAAAGAATACAGCATTGACACACACCTTGACTTACTTTAAACCATGCAATATTCCCTTGTTCTGTTCAAACAATTGCCTTTGGTCTATGGACAAGTTCCTTATGAGTACAATTAAGTGTTCTGGAATTCCCATTCCTTACAATGTTATCCATAATTTGTTATGATCCATACAGTTGAATGCCTTTGCACAGTCAACAGAACAGGGAAATACCTTTCTGGTATTCTCTACTTTCAATCAAGATTGATCTGATATCAGCAACGATATCCCTCGTTCCATGTGCTCTCTTGAATTCAGTTTGAATTTATGGAAGTACCCTATTGATGTATTGCTATAAATGTTTTTGATATTATCTTCACCAAAATTTTATTTGTAGGCAATATTCATGATACTGTTCAAAAATTTCTGCATTATATTGTATCACCTTTCTTTGGAATGTCACAGTGATGGATCTCTTTTAGTCAACTAACCAGGTAGCTGCATTCCAAATTTCTTGACATAGACGAGAGTGCTTGCAGAGTTACATGCCTTTGTTGAAACATCTCAGTTGGTATTCTGTCAATTCCTGAAGCCTTGCTTTTCGCCAATTCCTTCAGTGCGACTTGGACTTCTTCCTTCAGTACCATCAGTTCTTGATCATATGCTGCCTCTGGAAAAGTTTGAATGTTGACCAATTCCTTTGGGTACAGTGACTGCATTTCTTCCACCTTCTTTTGATGCTTCCTTTAGCCTTTCAGTATTTTCCCCATAGAATCCTTCAATATCCCAACTCAAGACTTAATTTTTTTCTTCATTTCTTCCAGCTTGAGAAACGTCAAGTATGTTCTTCTCCATTGGTTGTCTAACTCCAGGTCTTTGCACATTTCAATATAATACTTTACTCTGTCTTTTCTATCCACCCATTGAAACGTTCTGTTCAGCTCTTTTATTTTATCATTTCTTCCATTTGCTTTAGCTACTGTACATTCAAGAGCAAGTTTCAGAGTCTCTTCTGACATGTCTTTCCCTGCTTCCTTTCTTTCCTTTTTCATGACCTTTTGCTTTCTTCATTTATTATGTCCTTGATATCATCCCACAACTAATCTGGCCTTCACTAATTGGTGTTCGATGTGTCAAACCTAAACTGAAGATGGTGTTTAAATTCAGGTGGTATATTCTCAAGGTTATTCTTTGGCTTTCATGAACTTATTTTAATTTCTTCAGCTTCAACTTGAATATACATATGAACAACAGAGGGTTTGTTCCACAGTCCACCTGACCTTTTTCTAACTAATGATGAATATTGAGCTTTTCCATCCTCTCTTTCCATAGATGGTGTTGAAGTGATCCCTGTGTATTCCATCCAGTGAGGTTCCTGTGTATACCTGTCATTTAAGTTGCTGAAAGAAGGTACTTGCAATGAATAGGTCATAGGTCTTACAAAATTCTATCATGCAATCTCCTGTGTTGTTTCTACAACCAAGGCCATATTTCCAACCACAATCCTTTGTTTCTAACTTCCTCATTCCAATCACTACTAATTATCAATGCATACTGATGGCATGTTTTTTTTATTAATCTCAGACTGCAGAATTGAAAAAAACTTCAATTTCTTAATCCTTGGCATTAGTGATTGGTGTGTAAATTTGAATAACAGTCATATTAACTGGTCTTCTTCACCTATCGCTGACAGCACTATACTTCAGGATAGAACTTGAATTTCTCATTCCCAGCATAGTAGACCATATGACTATCCAATTCAAAATGGCCAATACCAGGCCAATGTAGTTCACAAATGTCTAGGACATCAATCTTTATGCATTTCATTTCATTTGTGACTAGTATCAATTTTCTTAGATTCATACTTTGTACATTCCATGTTCTAATTATTAGTGGATGTTTGCAGCTATTTCTGCACATTTTGAGTCATTTGAGTAAGCACTGTACTAATGTTACTTAAAGTCTAGAAATAAATATAAATTTGGGGATTAGCATCACAAAAGTTTATTCATCTCTACACAATTGGTTGTGAATGTTACACATTATCCAGAGTAAAACTTCCAGCGCCTGGGGAAGGTGATATTTGTAGCTAAAGTATTTTCACCCAAATGTTCACATTTACTGTTAAATACTAATTCAAATAAAATATGCTCTCTTCACAATCCATTCTTCTTTGGAAAAAGTTATATAATGTGAGACTTGAAAAGAAGCAGTAAAAATCAGTTGGAAAAAAAGGCTAAGGTTTCTGTTTTATTTCTGTATCATATTCAAAGCAAGGCAATTCTGGAGGAACCAAATAAATGAGAAACAGAGGAAAAGGGAAGCAGGAAAAGAAAGGAAATGAAGCACAAAAAAGCTAGATGTTTAAGTATAAAAAAATTCATATGTATATCTAACTTGTGGACTTTTTAAAATCATCTACCACAAATAACACTTCTACTGTAATCAAAAAATGTATAGTTCTATAAAATACTATCAAATTTTTCTGATTCTTTGCTTTTTCACAGGCACTACCTTTTTCCTTACACACTTTCTCTCCAAGAACCAAGACTATCAGATTTCTCATTTCTCCTTACCTTCAACCTTACTAAAAAAAAAAAATAATAATAACAAACTCACTGCCGTCAAGTCAGATCTGACTCATAGTGACCCTTCCTAGGATTTCCGAGGCAGTATCTCTATGGAAGTAGAGATATCTTTCTTCTGAGGAGTGGCTGGTGGGTTTGAACTGTCAGCCTTCTGGTTAGCAGTCAAATGCCTAAGGCACTAAAATAGGCCCTAACAATGAATATAAAGCATACTGTGCACTTGAAGCCCTATATTCCAGTCAGGTTGAATTACATATCCACTTCCATTTCTAGATCTCCTAAAAGAGGACACTAACATGTGGTTTGAGAGTGTGGCTCCACTAGTCAACTGCATCCTCCTTCTCACTCTTCTGTATGCACCCAGCATGCCTGTCATTACTAAGAATATAAGAAACTATATCAATCTCCCAAAAAAACAAATACAGTAGGTATATCGTAAAATTAACTAACTAGTCCATTATTCTATGTTTGCCATTCTGAATAACTGCTATGTCAAAAGCACTAAACATAAAATGATTTTCTAAATTTGGCTTTATGAAAATATTGAGAAATAAACACAAAGAAATAATAGAATGATACAAACCAAGTAAAATATTCCAGTGCTTTTTCTATGTAGTCTATAGCTTTCCCATCAAGATAATCGACTAGAGCTGCTTTTGCCATCATAAGATGGCATTCACCCAGACCTAAAATCAAATAATTTTATAATTGTCATTAGCTCATAAACACTTAGAATGAAGTTCAAATGAATTTATTAGTTGTTATTTTAAAGCCACTTCCCAGAAAATAAATCTTAATGATATTTTATAAAATTATCTTTAAGCATGATTTTTTGTATATTTAGTGTAGAATTTAAATAACAAAGTGCTACTGGAGTAAAAATATACCAAAGTTTACAAAAACTTACCTATGGAATCCAAGAACCCATTTTATTGACTTTAGGGAAGTTATTTACCTCTTAAAAATTTCTGGTTTGAAAACGAGGATGTACCTTGCGGTGTAGTAAATTACTTAGTGTGGCTTTTCTACCCATAAGCCTTTGTAAACTCCAAGGTGGGATTTTGTATGAGCAACTGAGCAGCCCCTGATTGCTGAGGCTATCCACCTGGGTTATTTCTGTTGGGAGTGGCACAATACAATGTTCTGGGAGGTGCCCACTCTCTCTCACGTGCTTAGAGT